AGAAGACCTGGCAGCAGCTGTTTTTGTGAGTAATAAATTTATGTCTCCTTGTGTAATTTGTGTTGTTATTGCGAGAGAAATTTTCCTGCTTCAGTCGGATTGTCCGGAGATAACAAAGTGCATAACAAATTTAAAAACAACAATTAAAACGGAAATTTTGCCTTTAAATGTTGTCGATGACCAGTTGGTGTCTGTTCTGTTCCCAGTGAATGTCTTTCGGCCAAAATTTGCTGCAGCTGGTCTTCGGCAAATTTGCAAAATGCGCAACTTGCGAGTTTTTTTTAATTCGGCTTTATTTTTGCTGCTTGTTGGATCAGGACCTAAAAGGTCAACGCCGATAGAAAAATTGGCAGTTCTTCGCTCGTTTCTTCCATATTTTAAAGAGAAGGAAAAGTGACTGCAGCTTAAAAGACAGCAGGTAAAAAAAATGTTTACGTCATGTTATTTACGCACGGGCGTGCGTAAATAAAGATTTTGTTCATAGCGGCTCAATAGGACTTATATAGGGCAAGCACGCGCGCTATGTTATAATAGTTGTTTTATAATTCCCAGTGGCACAAAGTTTAAATAACGTTTTAGGTTTTTATACAAGCATTCACTTAGTCAAATTATGAAAATGTCTACAAATATATGGTATCACCGTGTTAGTATTTATAAGCTTTATGTTCAAATTAGTTAGATTAAAGCTTAAAATACACATTTTTTTGTAATTTTACTTTTCTGATGATTTAAAATAACAGATGCACCACAAGGTATTTTGTGTATTTTTATTTCAACGCTTATCAAAAAAACATCTTTTTCCAAACCATTGAGAACATTATCCAAACAGGTTCAAGTCCGCCAAACGTTTGCAAAGCTTTAGTGACTGAAAACGTCTTAATTTTGCAAAAATGTTGATAGTATGTATAAAGGTATGATCTTTTTACAGGAGTTCTTGTGAGTAATTATCAGAATAAATGTTATTCGATAGCACTTTAGCTTATTTTCAATCAGAGGATTTGTTTTTAAAAACTTTGCAGTGAGCTCAAGATTCTTTGCAAAATTAAGCTCATATCCTAAACTTACGCCAGATTTTGCTGATCTCATATCAGAAAAACATATTTGTCTTACCGACAACAACATCAATTACTTTCGGGAGACTAACACTTGTGTTTTAACTTGAAAGCTTACTTTGTTTTCATTTCTTTTTTAATCGCCGCAATTTCACGCGTTGTTCCAGTTTATTCGCAAAGAAAATTTTTCTCCAACCAATTTCCTTGGCCAGGATCTTCATTTCGTCTGTAACCTTGTCGCAATAAGTCATAAATATTTTTTCCCACAGCAAATCATTCGCACAAATTTTCTTCGTAAACTTGCAAACAGCTCCCAAATGAACTACATCGATGAGATCAAGAAACGAGGCAATATGAACGAGAACTCGAGGTGGAAGTCGAATAAGCCAGTCGCCACACACAATGGCGTGAACGTGTTTAAGCGTTTCTTCGCCAAATACGCGGCTGATGTCGCTTTGAAGAAGAGCATCATCGTCAAACTCATCCCATGAGACTTTCTTTTGACTTGGGGGTAATCCTCGCTGATCTCTTCGGATTGCAATCCGCCATGTTCGCCAAATCACTTCTTTTTCATTCACAACAAGTTGGTGAAAATCTTTGCTTGGTGCAGGTGCTTGGCCGACTTTTTCGATGAAAACTTTTAAGGTAGTCATTGTTTATAACTCCTGGCGACAAATGTGTTAAACCAATATTCGTTCCTCGCTTCAAACCGTGAAAAATATGGAACAAACCTGGAATGACGTGCAAAAAGTTGGTCGCTTCTTTGTTGCAGTTACGTGTTTTGGCGGGAAATTTTAACCAACAAGAAGCCCTCTTTCGCCTTGCGTGTCAAATCGCCTTGAAATGTTTGAAATTAGATTCAACATATGAACTGATTTTTTTTTAAAAAAGAACTTTGTTGTTTTCGTGTATACTCTTTCCTAGTGTAATTATCCAGATCTGGCTTAATGTCGTTTTATTTAAAAAGGATATTTAGCTGTTGGCCACCTGAACAAATATTTCGCGGAAGTTTTATCTCAGTTTGAGCGATGGTTATCATAAACTTGTCTTCGCTGCCTCGACCGGCAATTGTTGTGGACAGAGCTGCTAGCTTGTTTTTTTGCAACTGAACCGTTTGGCGATTGAACGGGTGATACATGTTGTGACAAAAATAAATTGATTAATTTTGAAGCGTTAAAGTCGTTACTCGAAAAGAAATTGATGTGCTCATTTATCCCCAGAAAGATTTCTGACATGTTTTTACCGGTCGTTAGTTTTGTCTTGTTTTTGAGCCGTTTCACAAAGTTTTGACGTTTATAGTCCCGGAGAGATAAATTATTCTGGGTTTTATGAAAGAAAAAAAATCTGATCATTGACAGTTAGAGGAATGTAAAATACTTTTTGCTCCTTGTAGTAACTTAAGCACCTCCAACAATTACCGTGATTATAATAGTAGTTGATACTAAGCAATTTATATTACATTTCTTTGGTCTTAAAAGGTGTTGACACAAATGTGAAAACTTCCTTTGCTTAATTTCGGATCTTAGCTTTTTCTGAAAAGTAAAGCGTGTTAGACGTAGAGCGGGACGCTCCTTTTTTTCTGAACTTGTTAACTCGGTGCTAATGAAATCTGAGAATAATGTAACTTTACAGTCCGATACAGTGATTTTCTTGTTAGATTCTCCTGTGGCTACAACGTTATTAAACGTCGTCCGAAAGTCGAGCTTTTGCTATTTTTTTACGCCTTGTTTTTTACTCTTACCTCTATTTTTTAAAGTAGAAATTTAAACCTGATTAAACTGAAAAGTGATATCTGTGAAACATTCACTCTCCGGATCGTAACGCCTCTTGGAAACGGTTGTTCGGTTAAGACAGTTATAAGAAAGTTTGTAGGTGAAGGGAGGTGGGTGGGGATGAGGGGTAAGGAAAGGTCATTTGAAGTAAATTTACGAGTTTCTCGATTATTTTGCCTTGTTTTTTCAGATTTGTATCACGCTGACGGGAGGGTACTCTGCTAAAACTTCACACCAGTGTAAAAATATGTTTTCTTTTTTAATTATCCATAGATGTCCCTGACGATTCGACGGACTTCTTAGAATTTATTCATATTGTTCGCCATTACCGCGAAGGAACAAACACTCCAACTGTATTGCACTGCAGGTATGCACCGAATTGTTAGTAATTGGTAGTAGTTCAGGTGAAGTCAAGCTAGTCGTTGCGGTCTCTAGGAAGCTTAAACATTTAAAAGCCTAAGTTGTTTACCATTTAATTTACATGGGCAAACCAGTTAGTTTACGGTGTGGGCAGTTGGTCAATAAACTCAGGACTGGTAAAACCACTTGCAAAAATCAGTCGGCCGCAAAAGCGTGAAACTGGTATCAAAGAGGTTTTGTCATATATGAGTCTTCATAGCTTAGTTGGTAGAGCACTGCAGCGCTTACGCAGAGGCCATCGGCTCGAACCCCGTTGAAGTCCCGAAATTTTTTTGGCTTAATTTGCAACTGCTTCAATTGCAATTGCCACGGCGACGATCATATCTTCATTTAAAATTTGTATTTGTGCGGTTCACATCATCTTCATTCCACAATTACTAATTATTGTGCCTCTACCGTATGTATGTATACTTCTGTTCGTTACTGAATTTCCGTTTCCCGTCTTTCCAATATTTTATCTGTTGAAAGATTAATATATTATTTAGCATTTCATTTTCAAAAAGCATTGACTGAGTGCGTATCACCCCTGCCTCATTGCACTTCATTTAAAGTCTGAGGACATTTCGGGGACTAAATTCGGCTTTAATCGAGTGGCCACTAAGCTTTTAGTCCGTAAACTGTCCAGTTTTTTTCGTTATCTGCACTTAGTTTAGCCTTTCAGAATCGACGGCATCTCAATTATGCACTTTAAACCATACAAATCTTACAAATGGACCTGCTCGATATTCATGTTGTTTGACAAGAATTTAGTTTTTTAGGTAGTTAAAGTGAACTGGACAATCTTGATCTTCGGCCGTTATCTGTAGAAAACGAAGCGCTTTTGAAATGCAATTTCACCCCATAGTAGTTTCAATCGTTTTAAAATATGTGATAGATCATGGTGACAGTAGCTTTAACCGATGGCTAGAAAGAAGAATTTGATAAGTATGTATCTAGACGCTCTTGTTGGCGGTTTGTAAACGTTTTGGTCCACTTGATGGTAATTTTTCCAAATCTTTGTGAATGGCGACGTAGTTTATGCTCAAACTCGGGAGGTATTGACCCTGAAAAATCTCATCGAGCCACCTTACCCCTTTCACTGCCAGAGTGTTTGATGGAGTTTTGTAAGGTGACTCTAACTTTTGAGTCCATGGACGAAATCCTATGACGTGACCATTCAAATCAGTGAAAGCTCTCTGCCTGTACTTTCACATGATGATCTTTGTTTGTCAAAATTTTAGAAAATGAAATTTGCAAATTTGGTCGAAATTTACCCTTGGCCACATTTGGCAGTGAAAGGGTTAATACGGGCGCTTTCTGTGGCCCCTTCAGTGTCCTTATTAACGGGATTTGATTGTAGACCAAACTCGTTGTCTTATCTAAAAGATCATTGGTAGGTAACTTTTCAATTGTCTTCAGGTATGTGTGTTGCTGCCTCCATATCAGTCATTGGTTTGTCTATTTAAGAGGCCTCTTCCAATCTTTACCACCGCTTTTCTAAGCTCTCGAAGTCGCCAGCAATACAAAATCGGGTTTATCGAAGAATTCATAAATACCACCGTCGTAGACAAATCCCATTCAGTTTTCCACTCTCTGTGTACTGTCCCATACAAAGTCATAAAAACAACGTTCGGAAAATAACATATGACGAGACAGATGTAAAACAAGAACGTATTAACAGCGCTTTTTATCAAACGAAGCATGTGCGTGTTATTTGCACAACTTGAGATTCCTACTGCTTGCTTCTGAACGCGAATCTGTTTGTCGTGATGTCGAACGATTCCGTACATTTTTATGTAAAGATATGTGCAGATAATGAGACAAATAGCGGGGTAAATTCCTGCCAGCAAATGATACAAAGGCTGATTCCAAAAGTAAAGCCCCAGGCATAAGAAAGTGAACAACCAAATCATTGTCACGGTGCACAGCACGCGAGATTTGGTCACGATTGTGGAATATCGCATGTGGTAGTGAAAGGCCATGAACCGGTCCACGCAGATCACTGTAGTCGTACCAAGAGAGACTCCGCAGAGAAAGAACCCTGTCATTACTGTTACATGTTGCAAAAACAAGTCTTTTTCTGTTAAGCTTTTGAACTTGTTCGCAATGAAAAGCGGTTGGGCCATGACGCCAACCAGAAGATCCGAAACAGCCAGACTGGAAATCATGATCAGTGAAGGCGTTCGAATGGAGGGAGTTTTCAAGATGGCTGCTAACACCAGTGAGTTCCCAATGATTGAGATGAGAATCAGAGGGGTATTGATCACAGAGTTGATGACGGCTATGTTTTTTTGAGTAGCAGATATGTTTTTGTCTCCATCGTTGTCGTCCATCTTTTCACCCAGCTTCCGTTCCAGTCGAAAACTTAGATCCCCACTTTAATTTCCTCCGTACTGTATCCTCTTGCTCGTCAACAGCGAAGGGCGGAAGTAAATCTCATCGGAGTTGATAACACACGGTAAATCAGGTTGATTTTTCAAAGCAGCTGCTCCGACCTGCGCTTTCTTTTTCTCCGAGAAAGGGATCAGTCGAAGCGACGTTCTAGTTCTCACGTCTTGTTATTCAACGCAGTGTTTTGTCAGCAATATCTTCACTGCTCCACGCAAATACCAATTTAAAATTTTCGATTTCAACTTGTATGCCCCTTGTTCTTTAACCTGGGGGTCACGATAGAGATAAATTGCACAAACAAAAGAATTCGAATTTTAATACACCGATCGATGACTAATGTCTAGACTTTGATCAGGACTTGCATTATGATGTTTTGATTATGCGAGATAGGTAAAACAAGCTCTCTTGTGATGTGAATGTTACTAGCAAGTGTTTTTTTTCTCAGATCATTGCTTGAGGCTTGTCTAAACCTGAAAATTATTTTACGAAAACAAGTAGGCGGAGGTGATTTTAATACTACCGGTTAACTGATTAAAATTGTTATTCAGATCAAAATGGAATATCAATGTATGGTTGATTTGCAAATGAATACAAGAGATTACTAGCTTTAAAGTGGCTGCTACTCATCAAATATTTGACTTTGTAACAGATGACAGGTAAAGACTTTCAGATTTTTTCGCAAACATCAAGGAAGACATGAAAGAGGAGAAATAATTTATGTCAAAACTAATGGCGCTCAGCGCTTTAGGTGGCTGAACACAGTTTTGCGGGCGGTCAGCGATAGCGTGTGTTTTAAATTAGACAAACAAACATGGCGACGAAAAGAGCAATGGTACACAGAAGACGATTTCTCAAAATCTACTCATGAATATTTTGTGATATTTGGCGGAATTTTTACTTTTATCTTATTTGAAATAATGAACGTTTTAAAGTGGAAGTTTTAAGGACGAATTTTGTGACACATTTAATAATTACAGAACAATTATATTATTGATTATCTAAAAACCCGTCGGTTACCATTTGGTCAAATAAGTTTCAAATGGTAATGATTAACTATAGTAAGCTGTGTGCAAGTTTATAGGAAACTTTAATGAGGGAATTCTATGTAAACTGAGCGAAAGTGAAATTTTAATGTTGTATTCAATCGTTCATGTTGCCATGGAAACTACGAAGACGTCAAATTTTACCTGTCAGTCAAAATATTGCATCAGTACATTTTCGCACTGAGCTGTGCAGACGCGTTTTGTGTGCTCCGATCCTAATTCACGTATTCTTCTCTTATCCTGAACCTACATATTCTGAAAGCCATTCAGTATGACTGTACCGGCTAAAACTTTGACCGAGAAGTTGGCGTTCAAATTCGTAAGTTTAAGGTGGTTCATTGTAACCGTTCATAATACCTAAACACACGAGTTTTCAACCGGTCGAAAATTCATCTGGTAGCGTTCGAACCTTAGCTAGGCAAACGAAATGGACAAGCAAGGACTCGTGGAAAATACACGCAACCAGCATAGAGGGCTGGGCTGGGTTGTTCAAAGCTGGGGTTATGCGAAATTTGAATTCTGATATGAAAGCTTAAAAAGTAAATTCAGTTTAATTCTTTTTGTCGACACGTTGATGATTATATGCTATTAAAAATAACAGAGAAAACTAGCCGAGAAAATGCTTTTGAACCAAAAAAAAAAACCTAGCTTAAGCGCTAATCTGGGCCCTGGAAAATAGAAGAAGAAGAAGAAGAAGAAGAACCTTTATTAATTTATACCGCTCAGGGTAGCCCCTTCAGACGCAAAAAGCTGTCTGTTATCAATGGGAGCCCTGAGCAAAAAATACGTATTCGACAAAGTCAAGACTAGTTTTGTTTTAGCGCTGACGTGTTGAGAATGTGGCGGGATATTTTTCAGCCATTTACAAAGAGAGCATTGCAAAGTCAAAGCAATCAGTAAATTATATCCTCGTTCTATTACAAACGCTTCAGCGTGAACGCAAATAGACAAAACTTTCTTAGATACAGATACCTGAAAAACAAAGAATGTTAAATATTAAATTAAATCACATCCAAGTTTGGGGGCCGAAGTATAAGTAAGAAAATACGGTGCATTATGTTGACAAAAGAAACAATATTATCCAAAACCTAAACAAAATCTTCGGGTCAATATACATTTTAAATCGAAGTCTTTTGATTACTCGGTGGTCTAATAAAAGTTTAAAAGACGAAAGTGCGGGATGCTTTTGAATTGCATTTAGAGCGGTGTTCATTTGAGTGTCGAAAAGTAATTGGTTTTGCACTTTCTACACGATGCGATTGGCTTAAAAGATTCGCGCCATCTTTTCATCCAATCAGAAGTAAAACCAAAGCCAATTGTGACGCGCTCGCATACATTTTCCCGCGCTTTGCGTCAGCCACATGTAATTACTTCGAGTTTTGATTGGTTCAATGTATTGTCTGTGTCCTATGTGATTGGCCAGAGTAATTACTTTGGTTTTGGTTTTACGACACTCAAACGAAAACCACTCTATTGAATATGTGTTGTGGTTCAAGATCATCCTTGGCTTAACTTTTATTACCATTGCCACATCAAGGCTAAAAAATTGAAACGCAATCTAGTATTTCGCATTTTGTTCCTCCACTGCGCAGTTTACACTGCGTTGTCATAGACAAAAATAACGGCAAGAAGGGTCCTAAATTGCTTCCTTGTAAAAGGGTAAAACAGTTTTACCAACCTGATAATATATGTCACTTGTTCTAGGCTCTAAGATATACATTTATAATCTCTTGGAACCTTTCCTATGTCTGCCTTCAACCCTTGTATGTGCTTGTCACGATGTCTTCATCTCTTTGTTTATGTAACATCTTGTTTCCAATCTTCATCACCGCTGCTCTGAGCTCACGCAGTCTCCAACAGTACAAAATTGGATTGATCGACGAATTCATGAATACCACGGTCGTGGCTAAGTCCCATTCAGGTCGCCATTTTGCATATACTGTACCAAACAAGGCCATTAAAATAACATTTGGAAAAAAACAAATGACCATGCAAATGTAAAACAAGAAAGTGCTGAAGGCGCTTTTTTTCAGACGCAACATAAGGTGCTGGCTTCCAACGTTTGAGCTGTGTACGGCTTGTTCCTGGACGCGAATCTGCAGTTGATGGTGGCGAACAATTCCGTATATTTTGATGTAAAGATATGTGCAAATAATTAGACATATAGTGGTGTAAATTCCTGCCAGCAAGTGATACAAAGGCTTGTTCCAAAAGTAAAGTCCCAGGCATAAGAAAGTGAACAACCACGTTACAACCACCGTATACAGTACGCGAGGTTTAGTCACGATTGTGGAATATCGCATGTGATATTGCACGGCCATGAACGTATCAACGCAAATCAATGTGGTCGTGCCGAGAGAGACTCCGCAGACAAAAAAACCTGCTAAAGAAGTCAGCGAGTGTAATAACAGGTTTCTTTCTGTTAAGTTCTTGAACTCGTTAAGAAGAAACAGGGGTTGAGCCATGATTCCCACCAACAAATCGGAAACAGCGAGACTTGAAATCATGATCACAGAAGGCGTTCGAATTGAAGGAGTTTTCAAGATGGCTGCTAGCACCAAAGAGTTCCCGGTGATTGATATGAGAATTAGCGGAACGTTGAGTACGAAGTTCACAATGACGATTATTTCGTGGTTATTGACTGCCTTCTTGCCTTCGTCGGTGTAGTTTGTCATGTTATCCAGCCTTCGCTAAGTAGAATACTTAAAACTTGCTGGTCCTTGACAGTGTTGTACTGAAACAAAGCGTAAAATCAGTGCTAAACAGTAACGAAAAAGGACCAGTTTTCTAACCAAAAAATTAAGTACATCCTATTCTGTTTTCTTTCGCAAAATTGGTTTTCAATTTGCATCGACAAACTGTCACTGCCCTGGATTGTTTGTACCGTCCTGATTTTTGATGCTAATCTTGCTTTGATATATGTTACCTTTGCACACCACTTTTTTTTCGTCTTTTCTACTCTTGAACAAACTTCCTTTTTCCGAGCGCGCAACTAAATTTAATCTTTCCAAACGAGCCTTGAAGGCTTTTGAAATGTTCTTTTAAATGTTCAGTCTGAAATAAAGTAGGGAAACCGAGTTGTATATCAGTTAAAAGACTGAATTACCAATATCATGATATTGTCGTTCAAATCACAACATAAAAAGTTAATCTCATTTCCTTTACACCTTGTCTATAACTTTGACGAACCATTTGTCAAACTAAGTCTGAATTATTTATTATTTTAGTCTAAGTAGAAGGTTATTTTGCGCATCCTGAAAACTTTATTGAAAACTTGTGTGAACAGCTGGAAAATACAAAAACCTGATTTTTGTAGAATTGGAAAAAGCAACTGGGCCTTCATTTTTGTTGCTAACGATTCATTTTTTTTACTAATGATATTAACGAAAAATTTACTACAGTTAATCAGTTTGATAGCAGTAACAAAGCGTCAAAGATATAATTGCTTAAAAGCAGCATTAAATTGAGCATAAAATCAGTGCTCTGCTTAATGGCTTGTCGTAGACGGACAAATTAATTTGTTCATGTTTTGTTTATCATCTCAAGGCAACGATAACAGGTGCATCAGTGAACTTACAGGCTTGTTTTCTCGTCCTTTCCCGTCTCTTGAGTTGTTTCTAAATATTTACGTTAAAAAAACATTTCGAACCAGTTTGCCTTCGAACAAAAATAGTATCCGAAAATAACACCGTCCTTAACTTGTAAGGTGGTTCGAACCTATTTATTAGTGTGCTGGTTTTGTTTTGTTTTGTTTTGTTTTTTTCTTTTTCCATTTTTTATTTTTTGAATGGCAGGAAAGATTTAAACGATTGCTACAATATTTCCCTGTAGGTCTAGAAATCTTTAAGAGTCAGCGTGTATTTGAACTTTCATTTTTACTACAGATGCCAACTATTTTGAGATCCCTCGAAAGGCGGTTTCTTTCTTTGCTACGTCAAGTAAGCTTTATGACAAGAACTTATACTACTTGAAGGGCGGTGATATGAAGTTCTATCTTGTTTTTATCTGACTGCGTATTTGGTCCATAATCGTAATCGAAACAAATGGTAACAAAACAAACTATACAAACTACGAAAAACACTTACCTGTAGTAGTTAGGTAGCACCGTAAAAGCCCAACTTCCTAAGGTCAAGGAGAAATACAGCTCTCAATTCGAGTACTGCTAACAATCCACCTTTTCACTGCAAAGAAGACCCTTATGCTCGATAATATATTCACGATCTTTGGGTTTGTTTTTACGGGATTTCGGGCAGTGCGTCACTTGGGGATGATGAGTATTGCGATCGAAATGTTCTGTAACACCATTATTTTAATCGGAAAATAGATTTCCATCCCCAACTGGCAAACTGCCCGTAAGAATGTGAAAGCAAAGCTAGAGCTCTTGAGTATATTATTTAGCAGTGCACATATGTGCAGCGGCCGAAGTATGTATTGTCTTTGGCTAATATGAACGCGGAACATTTTCTATCTTGTTTTCAGTTTTGAAACGGAGCTTTAGCAACGACGATGGCGACGAATTCACCTTTTTTTCGAACATTATCGTGTTTATTCCAGAGTGAGCTCGCATAAAATGCCGGTCACATGTAGATGAATTTCCCAGGCGTTAAAGTGCTGGGTAGCGCATCATAGTTTAGTGTCGCGTAGTGAAATTTCACGTCTTGTTCGTGCGGGACAGCAAATGCGTGCTTCTGTACGTGCAAAATTAGCAAGAAAACGGAAGTTTTTGAAAACTCATTAGTGTAGACAAAGCCTAAAAACTTTTCGTTTATATAGTTCCTTCTCTCCAAGACATACACCTATTTAACAGTAAGTCCTTTTCGATCGTGGAAAAAAATATCAATAATGTCGCCACCTTGTAAACTGTGCCAACGTAAGGTTTCTAAACGTTCTACTGCGCCTCTTGCAAACTTGAAGCAAGAAAAGCTAAGAATCAATTAAGTGTACCAAAAAACTATAAAACGTACTTATCTCTCTGACTTACAGTCACGTTTACGCTAAACCGCAAAGTCCGTTTCAAGTTGAGAATTTCTCAAAAAAGAAATGAAAAAAATCACAAAAGAATTTGTGTAGACGTAATGAACAGTAAAAGTCAAGCCAAGGGTAAACTTGGCCACGTGGTACAAATTCACGTTGTTAGTTGCCGTTTGCCGTAAACATTACTCTGAGTCTCTCTTATGTCTACAAAATTCCGTGCTGCAATTTTTCATGGAGTTATATTAGAGAAACGGGTAGATCTTTCGCTACAAACGAGCAGTGTGAAAACAGCGGGTTAAAGGCTCCAGAATTCGCTAATCATGCTTTGTCTCATAACCATCGGATATTGATTTTAAAAACACCTCGATCTGTGAAGCTTATAGACAATGGTAATTATCGCGTTGGAATGTTTCTGGAATCCTGGCAGACCATGCTCACCAGTATTGGCGACATTATTAACTCTTGCCTTTCCCCACGGCAATATAGCGTTCTTTTTAGCAAAAAATTTCTCAATACATTCTTTCTTAATTTTCTTTCTATATGGTTAATTAAATTTTTATTCTATTGTATTATGTTAGAATTGTTTTCAGTTTTAAATCATTTCGTCCCTTAAAGACCGCAGAGCAACCGGTCGAAAGCTCGTATTTCTTAAAACATTTTTACAGAGCTCTTCTTCAGCACTTTAATAGAGAGCCACGGCAACGAGAACGTCAAAAAAGTAACAGGTTTAATTAGCAGAGCATCAACTTTCCATCACGACGAAATTTTCTTTCTCTTTCTGAACTTGAATGTGGTTCTTAGGAATTCAGTCAACTCCAGGCGTGTTCGTCTACATTTCAGAGTAAGTGAATTGGAATAATAGTGATGAAGATTTAAAAAATGCGAATGTAGTTTTTAAGCGACGTTTTCGCCGCGGCATTCGTCCCCGGATCGTAAGTCCCTGAAACGTCCCTTAGCTCCGAGGTCGTCGACAGCGGAGAAAACGTCGCTTAAGAATTGAATTCGCGTTCTTTCAATCTTCATCGCTATTATTTCAACCAGAAGATCATGATATTGTGATCTCTTGTTTCAACTCACTTGCTTTGTCACATGTAGGCGAACTCTCCTGGAGTTGAGTTCCTAAAAACAATATTCAAAATCAGATTGAGAAAGAAAGTTTCGTGGACGATATTTTACGTCCTCCATAAAACGTGAAATTAAGTAATTTCACGTCGACGTTGTGCAGTGACGGCAAAGGAATGTACCAAAAAGTTCCTTGCACGTCCAGAGTTGTTGTTTTGCTAATCAAACCTTTTTTGACGTTCTGGTTGTGCAGTGTAGCCGTCAGCGGATGTTGTGGTCTCTAATAACAGATGTTATGGGCCGAGTGTCTCGACAAAGCTCGACACGTTTTTCACCGCCCATAACCGACAAACTTTAAACACGACAAACAAAATTTATCAAATAAACCGGGATATCAAGTCATAACGTAGCCATTCTCTAACTATAGTGACTGAAGTTACGAAAGTGCATGTGAGCAACGGTTCTTTCCATTGAAAACCGACTTTAGAAAGCAATAATAATTTGTCCAGTCTACAGAAAATTTTTACCGTTAAGTCTTGGATAATCACAGTCTCGTCAATTGAAAGTTTAAAGAGGAAAATGAGTATGTACAAGAAAAAATGTTTCGAAACTTACCTGTAATTCAGGCTACAGATGCCCCAGAATAAGACACTGAAATAAGATTCAGTTTATCTCAGATGATGGTCATTTCATCCGCACGATAAATTTTGCTAACCGCCGATTTTCAAGTCTACATGCTTAGTAAATAGCGTATAAGTAAGGCGTAAAAGCTCTCCAAGCTTGTCCTCTCGGGCCAATATATGCTTTAATGGCACCAAATTTCCTCAAGGTAATTATGAGCCCATCGAGTCAGGATGTTAACACCCTGGTTAGAAATAGCCGACGACCAATCAACGCGCGCGAACAAGATTCAGTTTATTTCAATAAATTATAGTCAGCTCATTAATTAATTCGTGTAGTCGCCATGTCAAAAACAGTATTCAAGACCCTGCTTAGATTCATTTGAGGGCCAACATTGGTTTCCTAGAGACTCACTTCCTCTTAGAACGAATGCTGCCATTTCATAAACAAAAGGCCCAAAAAAGGGCATTCAAAAAATCACATTTTGCGATTTTGACAAGCAGCAATACGGCTTAGTGTTAAAAACAATAAAACCTTTTCTTAAATTTTTACACATGTTTAGACGGCACATTCGTCGACAGCAATGAAACATTTTGAACTTACCGTTGAATCGTATAAACCTGACTCTCTCTTCCACTCCATATATTGTAACTTTTTAGTACGCGATATTGTAAACTAATGTAATGGTCTAATTTTTCTCTCAATGTGAAAATCTAATTTTTCTCGCCCAATGTAAAATAATGCATCAGTGATTTCAAATCGATGACAGGTGCAACTTTCGAAACTTGTCCGAAAAATCAAAATCAGTTGTTATGTTTCTAAGATTATCCCGCGAAGAATGCAAAATTTTTCGAAAGGTAACGCACTTCCAGGCATGCAACCACTCCCTTTATACCCAGACTTATCAGCCTTGAGTAACAATTTTCCGCTTGCGTGTTTCTTAATGCCTCATTGACACAAAGGATTAAACATGTTTAGAATTTTAAAAAACACTGTGTAGTAAAATATGGCTCAAAAT